TATGTTCTGTCCACACTGAACTGTATTCAACCTCTCCAAAACTCTTACTTTCAAGCTCCTGAATATTCTTGTGTCTCTATTAGTTCTACCATGGGGGGAAGCTTAATAAGACCCAGGATGTTCTAAAGGTAGGCTCATTAAGACTCAGGAAGTAAACAACTCAGAAGTCCCAGAAGGTCCCTGAAACTGATTAGATGCACAAAACCCTCATTTCCAAAGGCTATGTAAGCAGTAAAGGCTACTGAAGAGACTCAGATAAGTTGAGATGCCTAGAAGATACTTTTTCTAGCCAGTGGAGCTGCCTGTAAGTCATGGAGTGAGCTTCAGGGTTCCAGCTTTTATGAACTGTCACCCATGCTGGGGGTGGGCTTTCAGTGATGCAGTTGTCTTTGAGTCCTTCCTGCTTTTATAAGTCACCCCTCATTCATACTCTTCTAAGTAGCCCTAATAAACTCATTGTTTGACCAAGTTGGACTTTGGTGCTATCCTTAATTTTGTCTGTCCTTGATCTTCTAACTCAGTGGTTCTCAACCTTTCTAATGCTGTGGTCCTTTAATACAATTCCTCACGTTGTGGTGATCTCCAACCATAAAAATATTTTGTTGTTACATCATAACTATAATTTTGTTACTGTTATGAACTGTAATATAAATATCTGATATGCAACCCCCCTGTGCAGGCCATGACCCACAGGTTAAGAAACGTTGCCCTAGCTGGTTGAAGAGATTTATGTCTCTTCAGTAAAAGTGTTACATAACAGGCTCCTAGTATAGCCCTCAGACCTGTCATAGCTCTCTAGCTCAGTTTCATTCTTGGGGCTTGCACTTTCTTCATAAACTACCTCTGTTTCTCTCATATCCTCTGAGTTGCTATCCAATCCTTTGTTCTAGGACACAGAAATCTGGACATCTCAGCAGATGGCCTCTGGCATCAGATCTTACAATATTCCACCAGTGTTTTAGTCACTTTCATGCTGCTAGGACGAAATGCTTGGCAAAAGCAGCTGAAGGAAGGAAGGGCTTATTTTGGATCACAGTTTGAGGGTGTGTCCATAGCGGCAGGAGCATGAGGTGCCTGGCCACACGGCATCCACAGTCAAGAAGCAGAGAGAGATGGATACTGGTGCTCAGCTCACTTTCTCGTCTTTATTTAGTCTGCCGAATGGTGTTTTCCACATTCCTGGTGGGTTTCCCCACCTCAATTAACCCAACTGAGAAAACCCCAGACAGACACACCCTGATAATTCCCTCCTGGATGATTTGAGGTCCTGTCAAGTTCACTCTCAATCTTAGGCACCACAGTCAGTTCAGCCACCAGTGAGCTGCACCCTCTAAATCACACAATCCCCGAACCTTAGAATCCTAACAGGGTCAAAAGATCTAGTCTGACAAATGTTTATTGATCTTGACTCATACAACCCAAGACTCATTTCGCTAGTTTGAAGCAGAGGTATCTAGAAGTTTCCTCTTGAGCAGAGAACACAGCTGTATGTTCAATGATGCTAGAAATCATCCTGAGCAGAGATATGTGCCCATGCCAGGAACCAGAGATTGTCACTTGGGAGCACAGTGAGCCCTCTTCTCTATTAAGGGGTTTCTTCTTATCTCCAGGGTTAAGGCACCGTTTCCTATAAATGGAGCTGGATGTCCAATGCACATCACGGACGGAAGGAAAAGTTGTGCTGCTTGAGTTGGTTAAACACCAACAGCTGCTTTGACTTAATTGAGTTTTATTCTATTTGATCTTGGATAAAGAGGATTTTTGAGAGTCTATTTTCTTCTTCTTAAGTGTTCTTGCTTGGGAAAACAACAACAACAACAAAAATGATAAAATATCCTAATGTCAATGTGGGTCCCAGATCCTTGCTAGCCAAATTTGGTACACATGGGGGCAGTAGTGCACCACAGACCTGGTAGGAAGCAATCACTGGGAATTTTAACCCTAGATAGTTTTTTCCATCTCCTGTATATTGGTGAGAAGTATCACTTAAGACAAAGTTGGGAATAAATTAAGCAGGGAACCACATAAAGAGGTTTATATTTGCTTTTCTGCCATAGTCTGTGAATTTTTATACCTTGACTATTTCCGACCGGCTCACAAACCCCCGATTTAAATTTGATGGTGCCATCAGGTGGTTACCATAAACCTGAGGGTGTTCCTGGGAATTCTGGGTCAAGATAGAAAGTCTCTACATGTGTCAGATGATGGGTTTGAGTGCCTGGAATGTTATTAGCCACTTAAGCATCGGTGGCGGTATCTGTTACTCAGTTTAACATTGCAGTCAGCCACGCTGCTGCAGGCCTGTCAGTCTAGCTACTTGGGAGGCTGAAGCAGGAGGACCATGAGTTCAAGGCCAACCAAGACTACAGAGTGAGTTCAAGGCCAGCTGGAGCACCTTAGTAAGACACTAACTATCTCAATGTAGAAAAGTGAAAAGAGAGTTGAAGATGGAGTTTAAGCAGTAGAATATTTTCCTAGTATGGCCCAAGTCCTGGTTTTAATCTCTAATATGCCCCTTCTTTTTAAATTCCAGCTCATAGCATTATCCACATGGGTACCAGAACAGAAGTCAGGTGAGGAGGGATCTAGCAAATTGCCCAAGATTGAGCAGCTCAAGAACACAAGCTTTCAATCTCATTCTGGAAAGGCAGGAAGAATGTTACTTATCTTGTTTGCTCATTAACATGATTTTAGCAGGCAGAAGCGGGATTGGACTACATGGCTGACAATAAATACTTGTTGAGTGGGTAAATAGCCAAACGTTTCCTGATTCCAAGTATGTTCTCCATAGACCGCATTGGTGTGTGTGTGTGTGTGTGTGTGTGTGTGTGTGCGCGCGCATACATGCACATGTATGTGCATGTGGAAGCCAGAGGTCAATGTTGGCATAGGTTCAACCTTGGTTTTTGAGACAGGGTCTCCCAGTGGGATCTGGGGCTCACTCAATAGACTAGACTATCTCCTCCCCTCCAGCAATGGGATATCAAGTGAGCCTCACCACTCCCAGGTTTCTATGTGGATTCTGGGGATCTACCTCAGGTTCTCATGCATCTGTGGCCACATACATCCCCCATCAAGCTATACTAAACTATCTTCCCAGTCCAGTGCTGTGTGTGAAGAAGAGGAATGGCAACCCTTCAAGTGGTCCTAGCAGACGTTGTAGTGCTGCGGTAGCTTCTAGGTTCCAGAAGAAAACAGTCTGTCCAGGAATTCTTCAGACCCACACTCAAGAATCAGAAGGGAAGGGAAGGCTATCAGCACATCTTAAAGGGTGATTGCTTGCTGAATAAATTCACTGTGAGGCAAGGGAAAGAAAATGACACAATATGGATTTATGAGCATCAGATTTCATCCTAAGTAAATTATGTGCAGAACTGCAAGATAAGGAGCTATTAGCTACCTAGGGGAAATGTGTAGTGTTTTTGTTCCGGTTATTCAAACCACAGAGATATGCCGGGCTGTACACGAAGGGGACATAACCCAGAGAGCCGTCCACTGAATAGCAAATGAACGTTTTGGAAATGAGGGACTCCCTGATAGCCCTGGCTTACATATCCTGCTCCATTTTGTCTACACCTCTGCCCTGTACTGAACTGGGAGGCCTTGGTGATGGAGGATGGGACCGTTGGCTGACTTTGAAAACAGCAGGGCTCAAAGGGCTGGGATAGCTTTCGGGATATCATTTGGAACTCTTGAGATTCTGGGGATGATGTAGCAAGGAGAGACTTTAAATTAGGGTTCTAGACTGGAGGACTTTTTACACTAAAAAAGTTTACAGATTTAACATGTGTAAAGAGTTGTCACATAGTTAAAAAAAAAAGATCCAAATCTCTAGTAGGAGGCAGATCAGTGTACTTTCTTGGGAGAGCTGGTTAGAAGGTTCCAACCTATAAGCTTGTCATGAAGGATGGGGTCTGTTATTGAGCTAAATACTTTTCTCAATGTGATCAATGCCAAAAAAATGCAGCATAATGGAGGAAGGGTTTACTTTGGCTCACAGTTGAAAGGGGATGGTCCATTATGGTGGGGAAGGCGGAAGACCTGCTGACCACTAGGCAGTGGATCACATTGTGGTCACAGTCAGGAAGCAGAGAGAACTGAATGCTTGCATGCCCTTTCCCTTTTTACGAGTCTAAACCCCAGCCCATGGAATGGTGCCATTCATAGTTAAGGTGGGTTCTCACTTTAGTTAATAGTTAACTGAATCTAGAAGCTTCCTCATAGACACGCCCAGAGGTTTGTCTCTTCACTGAGGGTAGATCCCGTCAAGTTGATTGTCAATATTGACTATTACATTTATATGTATTTTCCTTCTGGTTCAAAATGTTTTCTTCCCAAAGGGAGGAGAGAGACTCAGTTTAACATTCAAGTAACTGGCAGGACTCACAAGGCCCTTCTCCTTTATACAAGCACTAAGTGGTTGCCAGGCGATGGATGACTCTTGGGGGAGGTAGCTGTCTGTGCATTGGGCAGGGGAGTGAGTGAGTGCTTAGTTAATACAGGAGTAGCTATGACTCAGATACAGCTGCATCACCCGAGCCCACCCCGAGGATGAGTGACAGTTTACAAACACTAGAAACTTGAAGCACACTGCACAACTTGCCCGAAGCTCAAAGGTTACAGGGGATCCTTTCCTAGTAAGTTGGGTCTGAGCCACATTCACACAGCTCTGCTTGTCTGGGAGTCTTGGTAGCTTGGTTGTTTTCTGCCTCTTTTGGGTTACTGGGCTGGGCTGAGAATCTCCTTTGAAGCCTGGCTCGCTGAGAGTGACTCTCAGCAGTCTTTACTGTTTATGTATTCTTGGGGAGGGAGGCGCCTAGTGGATCTTGTCAATTTCAGGGACTTCCTGAATCTGTGTTGAGTTGTCAACTGTCCTAAGAAGGTTTCCTGCAGAATGGAGTTTTGCCTCCCCTTAGGATATGCTATACCTAAGATATACCTTCTGGGAAACACCTCAACCTAAAATATCCTGTTGTTTTGTCTCCCTTTTTGCATCCTAGGTCTTAAGAGACTTTCTCTACAAAATGTAAAGTTTTTATCTTGGAGGAAACTGCTACATACTGAGGTATGTTTTTGATGTTTTAACAGGCTGGGCTCGCTTCCTGTTCATTCTTCACTTTCTGAGTGTGGATGCAATCTGTGTATGTATGTCTCACATTGGTTGTGTTTTTTTTTTCTTTTTGAGAGTATTGATTAAGAAGGTCACCTTTGAATGATTCTGTTGTTGTTTGCTTGTTTGTATTTAGATGCAGGGTTTGACTATGTAGTCTATGTGTGCTGATTTGAAAGAAAATGCCCCCCCAAAGGGAGTGGCACTATTAGGCCGTGTGACCTTAGAGTAGGTGTGGTCTTCTGGGAGGAAGTGTGTCACTGTAGGGGCAGACTTTGCAGTCTCATATTTGCTCAAAAATACTGCCCAGTGAGACAGACCACTTCCTATTGCCTGCGAGTCAAGATGTAGGACTCTCAGCTCCTTCTCCAGCACCATGTCTGCCTGCACACCACCAATTCACACCATGATGAAATAGACGAAGCCTCTGAACATGTAAGCCACTCCAATGAAATGTTTCTCTTTTATAGAAGTTACTGTGATTGTGGTGTCTCCTCGCAGCAATAAAAACCTTAACTAAGACGCCAGGTTTACCTTGAATATGTGATTTTCCCACTTCAACCTCCTGAATATGGGGATTCAGGACATGTACCACCATGACTGACTTTCAGTGGCTCTTGAATCTGTGCCTTCTTTCCCTACAACCGTCACCTGTGAGCTAAGGTGTTGGCCTGCAGTCAGGTGAAGAAGTCAGCTTTCTGCGATCCAGTGTCGTCCCTACAAGCCCTTGGTTTCTGACGCAGTTGAGAAGATGAACTCTGTGGCCTGATAATCAAGTCAGGCTGGCTTTAGCCCCTGTCCTAGGTAGTCTAGCTGCTGATTTAACACAGCCCACAGTCATCTGGAGGGAAAGTCACAATTGAGAGGATGTCTGAGACAGATTGGCTAGGAACGTACCTGTAGGGGAGAGTCTTGATTATTAATTGATGTAGAAGGATAAAGGCCACTGCAAGCAGTACCGTCTCTGGGCAAGTGACCCTGCGCTGGATCAGAAAACACGAGCCTATTATGAAACCAGAGAGCAAGCCAGAGCATAGTGCTCCTTCCTGCTTCTGTCCTGGGCTTCTGCCTTGAGTTGCTGCTCATGTTGGACTATAACCTGAAAGTGTAAGATAGAATAAAGATAAAATAAAGCGTCTCCTTCCCACATTGTTGGTCAGAGTACTTTATCACGGTGACAGAGAGGAGACCGGAATATTCCTTGTCCCTCCAGCGCATTCATCTTCTGTGCATTCTCTAGGGGGAAGGGTGACGTACACATCGTGCCCTTTCTTGTTGCATCTGCTATTTCTTCTCTTTGGAATCCTTCTCATATACACACAGGATGCTGCACCTGGTGAGCTGCTTCCGTTTTTCCAGGTGGACTCCAATCTCCGCGAAGCCCTTCTGACTACAGGAGAACCGGATCTCACCTACCATCCCAAATTATTTATATCAATGTATTGTTGTCATTATATTTTTATGTGTCTTGTTTGTGTTTGCAGATGCATGTGCTCAAGCATGAATGGAGGCCAGGGGGCATCTGCAGGTGTCATTCCTCATATACTGGATGCTTTCTTTTTCATGGTAGGCTAGGCAGGCTTGCCTGTGAGTCACAGGGATCAGCAGGTCTGTCTCTACCTTCTCAGTATTGGGAGTGCAAGCATGTTCTGATGGTGTGGGAGAATTGTCTGTATTCTGTCAATCATGTTTTAAATAAATGCTGATTGGCCAGGCAGGAAGTATAGGTGGGTCAACCAGACAGGAAGTAGAGGTGGGGTGATGAGAACAGGAGTATTCTGGGAAGCAGGAAGCTCCCTTCTCCATTCCTGCCCAGACCACCGAGAAGCAAGATGTAACCTGCCCAGCTGTGAAAGGTACTGAACTGTGTGGCTAACATAGATAAAAATAATGGACTAACATAAGTTATAAGAGCTAATAAGTAGCCTGAGTTAATGGGCCAATCAGTTTATAATCTTATGGAGTCCTCTGTGTGATTTTCTTTGGGGCTTGCTGGCTGTGGGCTACCAGGCGGGATAGAAACCCCAACTAGCCGGCCCTTCATGTTACATTCTGACATGCTCTGCTAAGGTGGGATTTTAGGGTCGGTTCTGGGGCTCAAACTTAGGTCTCCCTGCTTGCAGCGGCAAGCTCTTAACCAAGCCCCTGTCTGGATCATACGTATCTGCTCACATTTTTCTTTCCTGTATGCAAGGTTCTGGGAAGTAGAGCCCTCATTTTTCAGTGCCTAGAAGAGTTCTTTACACTCGGCCCACATCACAGTCTGTGGGAGGAATGAGCAATGAGGACACTGGGTATGCTCGAGTCCAACTAGATTGTCAAAATATTGGTCAGTGAGACAAGCACAGAGCCTTTAATCCGAAAGGTTTATCCAGATTATTTGACCTAATTCTTTAATACCACATCATCAGATAATTCTGTGTGAGCCGACCACTGTAATGTCAGCAAATACAGTCAGTGCCGAATATTATCTGCAGCAGAGTGTGGGGAGCCCAGAGTCCTTTAATGAATGTACATAGGGGGAGAGATGTCAGGAGATTAGCATTCTTGTAATAAGAAGGAGAGAAACATTCATCAAATTGCTCCAGTGCTATCGCTAGAGCATCTCCCAGCAAAGACCAGTGAGCAGCCAAGAGAGATGGCAGATTTCACAGGTGGGTCAAGGGGAGCCTTGTTAATTCTGCAGCGTATCAAAGATGAATGGGAAGGGAAATAAAGCACGGCTGCAGCTATCTAATTGCGGAAGACCCCCATCTCAAATACAGCTCAGAGGCAAATGTGAGCTGGGGACGTGGTTCAGCTTGTAAAGTGCTCTCCTAGAATGCACGAGGCCTTGGTTTCCATCCCCAGCATGACATAAACTGGGAGTCTGAGTCAAATCTGGGGTAGGGGCCCCATTCAAAATAAAAAGGGGAGGATTTAAAGCAAGGGGTAGGTGGACTATACTATTTTCTTAGGAAGTAGGGTTTATCTTTATTTTTTGACTGCAAAAATGATGAGCATTTCTGATCTGGGGGACTTCTGCTGCAGATCTAGAATGTGGAATAACAAATTCCCACTCCCTAGCTCACTGGAAGCCCAGGAAGATCCTGCTGTGAAGATGGTTCTTAACCAGGAAGATGCAAATTTGACCCCAATTCCCAGCAATTAAGGGATCTCTTGGATCACCCTTTCTTGTTATTTAGAGTTCAGAATCCTGGGGACTAGGAAGCACTATCCAGATGGTTATTTTCTCAACAGAATTGGCTTACGATGCAGATGGTGGTTAGTATAAGAACTCATAACTGGTCTGAGGGTAGCGAATGGAATGCTCAGCTCTAAATAGGGCTCCGAGATCATACTTCCTCTCCCTAAGGCTGAGGGGACGTCCTGGAAGAGCAGGTGAAGGACTGTTGAGAAACTGTCATTTGGATGTGCACAGATGTGTAATCATGAGCTCACAGCAGCTGTGGTGGCTGCACAAATCCAGTCCAGTAAGCGGTGCATCATGGAACTGGATGATATTCGTGAGGGAGGCCTTGCCTCTCGATGAGAAACTACTGGTAGCCAACAGCCTCCGTGGGAGGGCAACTCACTTCTTCTCAACACTGTGACCCCACCAGTCAGCTTCCCACGCTCAGTGGATGAAATCCTACACCCACGAATGTATAGGCAGCACTAAGTGGACCCCCATAGCTCTTTAAGAAGGGAAGAAGACATGAATTTGGTAAGAGGAAGTCGGGAGAATTTCTGGGAGGAGTTGCAGAGGAGAAATGAGATGCAGATAAGGTCTAAACGCATTGTATTGGTGCGTGAAATTACCGAAGAATGAATGCGAGAAATGCAAAGGCAAAAAAGAACTGACCCATGACTCCTTGAATGTGTTCTGAGAATTCCATCCATGTGGTGTCCTATGATGATAAATTGTGTTACCCCATATCATAAGGTATTGTTTTAGTCACCATTCTTTGGTGTGAAGAGACACCATAACCAAGGTAACTCTTATGAAAGAAAGCATTTAATTAGGAGCTTGCTTGTGGTTTCTGAGGTTTAGTCTGTTGTGGGGAGCATGGTGGCATGCAGGTGTGGTGTTGGAAAAGTAGTTGAGAGCTAAATCCTGACCCACAGGCAGAGAAAGAGAAAGGGAGGTGGGAGAGGGAAGAGAAGACAGTATCATGAGTTTTTGAAACCTCAAAACCCACCCCAAGGATACTGTAGTAGAAGGAGCGGCAAGCTGTGTTCCCGCCGCCCGGCTCACGGCTAGCTTTACCCGAAATAATTACACGGTAACTGTATTCATTTAAATACTGCTTGGCCCGTTAGTTTCAGCCTCTTATTGGCTAACTCTTACATCTTGATTAACCCATTTCTAATAATCTGTGTAGCACCATGAGGTGGTGGCTTACCAGGAAGGATCCTAACCTGCGTCTGTTTCAGAGAGGAGAGTCATGGCGACTGACTCATTGCCTTCTTCCCAGCATTCTATTCTGTATACTCCACCCACCTAAGGGCTGACCTATCAAAAAGGCCAAGGCAGTCTCTTTATTAACCAATGAAAGTAACACATAGACAGATAATCCTCTTCCATCAGGATACAATTCCTAGAGAAAGCTACACCCTAACCCCTTTAATTCTATCAAAGAGTTCTGCTCCTTGGTGACTAAGCATTCAAATATATGAGCCTATGGGAGTCATCCTTATTCAAACCCATCACAGATATATTGGATTCTTACCCCACCAGGGCTGCTGGTCATGATTTAATTTTGAGACAGAGTCTTCAAAGAGTTAAGTTAAAAGAAGGTCAGTAGGGTAGGTGACTTTATGAAAAAGGGAACTTTGAACACAGGGACTGTCTGTGTTATATCTGATCTTAATGGTTAATTCTTGAAGGATAAGTATTTGGTTCCTTGACTCAAGTAGGATTAGTATTAAGGAAGCAGGGCTATCGTATTGTATACTGGATAGATGTGCTCAGGTGTACCGCCAAGGCAGGTCTCATGTTCATATTCAGAGAATTTATTATACACCACTTATGCTTCACACTGGGCCCAAAATTCATGTCTCAACATGCAAACACGCGAAGCTATTCCATCTCACACTAGGTCTTTGGAGGATGGGATTCCAGCGGCATACGGCTGTGCCCGTCAATCTAGGTGCTCAGGATCCATATGGCGTGCGTGGGAGCTCATGCCTTCATTAGAAAAAAAAATTTTTTCTTTCTTGTAATTAATTGGAGTAAGAAGTGAACTTTTACCCCATCATTGTCTGTCATGTGTCCTTTGCCAATTAGCATGGTTGCACTTCATGGCTTAATTTAGTATCAGTTCTGAAAGCTGAAGGAAGATGGTAGCATCTTTGAATATTAATGCAGCTCCTTTCCCTGGGGGGATTCCGCCTTCTGACATACTGGGCTCTCCAGTTGGGAGGCAGAGCTTTTTGGATTTTTCAACTCCAATAAAGCTTAGCTCGCGTATCTAACCTTCCCTTTGCATGGTGAGAGAGAATTCCCATTCTTACTACAGGGTTCTCCTTCTCAAGGAGAAGGGCATGATGAGCAATCATGTGATAAAAATTCTGGGCCAGCACAACAGCCCCTGGGTTCCCCTCACCCCGCAGATCATGCTTTGTGAGATTTCATCTAAGGCGAACTAATACATTTTAGAAACTCATGAGGGCAGGAAAGGTTTTGTGAGATTAAGCCCTTCGCACAGTGTCTGATATATGTCGAGGTTTCAGTAAATCTCTTCTTGGACCTCTAGGGAGTTACATCGTAGTCATCAGACTGGGCACCTTCCTAGGGTGCCTCTGTGACTTGAGAGGTTCCTCAGAGCTAAGTGATGGAATCGATCACCCAGCTCTTTGCATCCCAGGGAAGAATCTCTTGGGGTCTTTTTGTGTTTTGCCATAGGTGGAGTACAGATGTTCTACATCAGTGGTTCTCAACCTTCCTAATGCTGTGACCCTTTAACACAGTTCCTCATGTGGTGATCCCCCAACCTTGAAATTATTTTTGTTGTTACTTCATCACTGTAATTTTGCTGCTGTTATGAACTGTAATGTAAATATCTGATAGGCAGCCTATCTACTATACAACGTCATGACAAGGTCGTTCGACTCCAAAGAGGTCACAACCCACAGGTTGAGAACCACTGCTTTAAATGCATTTTA